AACTCCTGCTGTTAAAACCAGATGTAGCCTCATCTGTTATTTCCCTGTGTCTGAGACCTGTCCCTCTGCCATTACTAATCCAACACAAAACTCCAACGAGCGCTCAATGATCTCAGTAGCAGGAACAGACTTGATTGTAATTTAGAGTTACATCTAGCCCTTACATTACAAGAGTCATCTGTAATAGAGATGTATCTTAAGGTTTTATTCAGCCTGTGATCCACACAAAGTACACAAGGCCACCTAACTGGACTCCTCTATCACCTCATTTTTTTGCACAATTTCCACTGCATTGACTGATGCTCTGGGAGACAAAGTTAGGTCTGTTTGATATTTATGCCCTGCCTTGTTTGCTCTCACCTAAATTAAAGACAAAAAGAATGTGGGATTGCTGCTTCTCCAGAGTGCAGCAGTAATAATCATTTATAAAGGTTCGTAGAAAAGGATGTAGAATCATCGTAAAAACTGACTTTTCCATATCCTTCTAATGATGCATCTTAGAGCAACACGCTAGAGCTTTCCACCGGACTGTGGCCAGAATTGTCTAACTTCAATCTAGACAGCATTTCTGTTGCTCCCCCAGATACAACAGAGCTGCATGACATGTCAAACTTCATCTCAGTAAAGACCTCAAAATTTGTGCTTTAAATTGCATTTAGATGACTTTTTTTACCATGTTTAATTCTACCTCAAGTTATAACACTAACACTAATTCTTCACAGTCAGTTCCACAGTAAGTAAAAGCAAACTCATAGACAGTGAATATATGGTGTTCACTAAACAAAGCTAGAGGATGATACTGAGGACATGCAAAGATTTATCTGTAGTAGAAAGGGAGTAGGAGAAAATATGTTCATGTTTAATCTTCTTTTCTGTGTTGTAGAACAGAGTAGGGAGGTAATAGCTGTTAGGATATCTGCTTAACCATTCTATAGGAGTTAAAATGTTCTAACATCTTGCTGATTAAGCTTGTGTAACATACCAGTTGTATTTGGGTGAAAAGAAATGGTTCTCTATAAAATTTCAGGGGAAATCAATTTAAATCTGTTCGAAGCTGTTGTTCCAGTATCCAACTGTTCACCTGAAAAATCTGTTCCTTTCTACCTTAAACTCTTAATGACAGAGAAATTCCTCAGGCTTATGTCTTGTATTTGAAAGACTCAATATGACAAATCAGATGCAGTTTGTCGTTACCACATGGTCTCAGAAATTTCAAGGCATTGCAAGCTATTAGCATATCTAGTTCGTGAAGGGTTAAGTAACATTATTACTGTGGTCTCCATCACCAGAAGCATGTTCAAAGTGCATGGAGCTCAAGACATGTGCATTCTCCGTCCAATAACTTGTCCAGTAATTGGTATATTGATTGCTAATGTCATCATGTTTTAGTATATATAAACCCTCTCACTCTATCATACAGCCGCCAACAATCCAAGAAGTCATTGTTTATTCATTGTAACTCCCAAACTGGCCGTGTCAGATTCTGCTTGAGGCCTTGCTGATAAAAATCAGCAGATGATTGGGCACACACATTCTTAACATGGCTGACCCATGACATCTTAGGGCCAGCAGGGAGCCTGTCATTATGTGTACAATACTCTTCTTTCTTTCCCCTTATCTATTCCCAGATGACTTTGAGATTTTTATTAACTCATTAATGACTGAAGATGTCATTAAAGAAGGTGGGGGGTAGGGGAAGGCGGAGGGAAAGGGTATTTTGTTTGTTTGTTTTAAAGTGGAAAGCAGCAAGCCATTGGCTCCAAATGGAGAAAGATGGAGAAAGCCTTAAACCTTGCAACTGAAATCCAGAGGAAAAGATCAGCAATCTTTTTTTTTAGAATGATTAAAAAAATCTTCTTTTGCTGGGAAAATGGTGGGGAAAATAATCTTGCATCTTAAAACTTTGTCTATAGCTCCTAATATGTCTTTAAAGCAATCACCCGCCTGTTTGGGGGTTTGTTGGTTTGTTTGAAGCTGGATTCCTATGACAATGCAAGCTTTTCCTCCTGGAATTTGGGTATGCTTCCTGTGATTAGGGGCCTATTGGTAACCAAAGACTTAATATTTTACTTAATATTTTACTTAATATTTTACTTAATATCTTACTTAATATTTTAAGGATTGTAATTGTTTTGTCTTAACAATTGCTGTTTGTGGATTGAGTAAGGGACAGTAAATGCTCTTCTGCCTTAACCCATTGCCCATATGACTAACCTTCCTACGTGACTTATCTCAATCTAGAAATCTTTTATATAATTCTAGTACTACTGGCCAAGGTGACGGAGCTAGATGTTGCCTACATAGACTAGTCTTTAGTGATCTTTGTTTCCATATCTATCTTGGAGATTAATGGAAGAAAAGAGCCAGATTCAATGAGAGATTCACAAGTGGTTGTATAAAATATCACAACTCATTGCATGGAACCTCTGAAAAATTACTTCCAACTCATACAAGAAGTTCCTTACTCCATCACATAAACTTCTGATAAGACTCTGCAATCAGACATATCAGTCTGACCTTACAGACTTACTATAGAACTCTTAATAGGAGCTAAAGAAAAATGTTGTTGTGCCATACTGTTTTTGATGACTCTCCATTCCCTCCATATAGGTAATCTAAATCACCTATACCATAGTGGAAGCTATTTCAACTTGCAGAAGTTGGAATACTCATTTAGTAAAACTAATACATAGCTTCAGTACATCTTCTTAGGAATGCTGGTAATTTTGCTGGTGTCCTGAGTTCCTGTGAGGACCATGGCTGCAACTAGCATTCATTTCTGGTTCCTTTTGTTTGTTAAAAGGGATTTTCTTTTTCATTTTATGAGTCTCCTGATAGTGGAGTTTATATCGCAGCAGAACCTGGGGTTCTCCAATAAAGGTCAGGGCTTTGTTGTGCAAGGTACAGATACATATATGACAGGAATAACAAAAAAAAAAAAAAAAAAGAGATGATGAGAACATATCACCATGTTAATCAGCTATGCTCAGCCTAATCAAGTTGTACCTTTTATGAAATACACATTTTGAGAATCAGCTTTCCTTCCACCTCACTTTCTTATATCCAGGTGTTAGTCTATCCTATAGCGAAGGAGGAACCTGTGATGAATCTTTGGATAATGGACTTTTGCTTTGACAAATTACTCCTGTAGTGAAACACGTGGCTGTCTTGGCGACAATAATAGCAAAGATAGCAAAGTGCAGATTTTGCTGAAGAAATAGAGGCTTTGAGGGCTAGAACATCAGGCTCTGAGTCTATAAATTGCTGGACTGGGATGTTAGATGCTTTTTAATATTTTCAAACCTCCTATAGAGTAATGAAAGAGCTGTAGGACTATCCTGCTGTAAGATCTCAGGAGAGTTGTTTTTAGAGATCATGGGAGCTCACAACTTGTTTAAGAAGCCCTATCCGAGTAATAGCTGGAAATAAGTTGCTTGATTTTTCTGTCCCCGAAGACAAATTCTTGTAATAGCAAAAGTATAAAATCCCACAAAGGGAGTCTTGATACTTTGAGATACTCAAGCTACTTCATAGTGGGGGGGAAGGCATGCTGGCAGTGAGACTATTTGGGGTAAATAATGAGGACAGACTTCTCAGAAATAAACTGGTGTGGATTTGGCCATGAGATGTCAGATTCATAACTTGGGAGATGAAAGTCTCTATATACCACAGAGCAGGGCCTATTCAGGCACTGGCAATTCAGCCTTTGGAGCCACTGGGATTTCTTTATAAGCAGTGGTATATTAAGTGTGGAATTGGGTAGGCCAAAAGGACAGCAGTAAAATAGAGACAACGTGCAGTGACCAAAAATGAGTTAAAGGCAGACACACTAATTGCTTTGCAGTAATTTTGTTTTCCTTTACAGTTGACTATTATATCTTACTCCAGGAACATCAATGGCCTTCTTACTACTTAGATTGCACATGTGGTGCATCTTTTGTCTAACTGAAGTTGTGGAGAAAAGCAGTCTTTGTCCAATTACCCAATTTAGTGTCTTTTTCAATGTAAGGATGAGGGGCAGGTTTTTATACTGTGCACATAGCTGGAATGGGCTGAGGAGGAGCACTTTTAGACAGGCTTGGGTCAACAGAACAGATTCATCCATCACATCTGACAGAATAGGAAGATAGTTGTCTTGATTTTCGGTCAATCTGAGACCTTTCTGCTGAGTCAACTGACAAGATTGCAGATACTCGTGACAAAAAGAACATTTATCCACTAGTAAGTGGACTGAAGACCACCTACATATTTGGCACTGGATCTTCAGCTTACAAAGCTCTGAATTTTTCCTGAATGCCAGGATTACTGTTTGCAATCATCTTCTCTTTACAAGTTGGGGATCAACACCAAAAACTAACCTAAAATAAGAAAAAAACAATAAAAGAAAGGAATGCAGAGGTGGTAATGGTGGAAGGTGTGAGAGCCAGTAGAAAGTACAGTAAAGAAACCCATGACAAGTCATGATAAATGGGTCATTATAAAATTCATGTTTAGGCTGCACCAGTCTGGGGATAATGCCATTCGTCATGGCAACACTGGGGCACTAATGAGCCCTCATTGCATATTCATGGCTTTGGCGCCTCTCTTCTCTTCCTCTCTCCCTCCCACCCTGAACCCAATGCCTGGTAAATATCTCCACCTCAAGCTGAAACTCGACTTAGGCTTTTTTTTTTTTTTTTATTTGTTATGTTGCAGCAATTACACTGTAAAAGTGCTGCACAAGATTGATTGCTCTGATCTGTAGTTCAATTGTAAATTAGAATACACATCCCCCTGGGGACACACGGCCCCTATTTGTGATTAAGAAAAAAGCCCCATAATAGACTAATAGCTAAAGTTCTCTCTCTTTTACTTTCAGGCAATTAGCTTGATGAAATGGCCTCTTTTTGTGTACCCTGGAAGTGTAAACCGATATCATAATGAAGTATATGATGTTTATTCTATTATTTTCACCTTGCCATGTATGCAGGAATGCATAAATAATGGCTGCTTTGTCTAGTACATTTACTGATTCAGAAGTAAACTACGTCTTAAAGATGCAGCATATGATCCGGCAGCCTTACGTGAAGCTGAGCACTGTGACTAGTCCCTATGAAAACAAATGTACTGCCTAAAGACATTGCAGACCATTTTTAGTCAAGTGATTAAATACTGTTTGCAAGGCATTTCCATTTATAAAGAACTTTAATTGAAAACCTTGATAACCTTGTAAGAAAAGCCAGGTGTCTCAATTTTACAGAAAGAAAAACAAATGGGAGATGCTGAGAAGCCCAAATTGGACCTCCGTAAGTGCTCAAGAAATCCCAGCAGCTTGTACTTTTTTCAGACAATCAGAAATGCCCTTTCTCCTCTTGTAAAGTATTATTAACATTGTACTGAGTGGTTTGTAGGATGGCTCAGATTTGTCTCAAAAATATAAAACTCTTTGGTGACACAGTTGCGTTCATTACTGTGACATACCTAACTACAACTCTTTTACCTGAATCCGAGGTGAATATGGCCATGCCTGCATCCAGTATCACGTGTTGGATGTTGGTCTTCCCAAGGCTTAATTTAGGTCATCAGTCTGAGCAAACGAGTCGTGTTGTGAAACAGCACGGTAATGTGGTGAGTGTGTTCGTGCAGTTGAGCTCAAGATAAATATCAGTGAAGAAAACTGCCATGTAGATGGTAACTCTGCATACTTGCTCTGTGACAATAGGTGCTTCGACGTTTGCATTTCAGTTTGGCCCAGGAGTGCCCTTTGGAAATGACATTTCCTGTCGTCCCTCTTACCTTGCTCCACAATATGAAGCAATCTCTGAGCAGGTGGGCTAAATTCTTTGGATGGAAACTAAACCAGAGTATGCGGTCTCGGGAGCTCCATCTGCTAAAGTGCTTTCAGTTCATGGACAAACACTAGATCTAGTCCAAGAAAACCTGTGACACGCAGTGACCTGGGACAAGGCCGTGCACTCACTTCAGTGCACAGTGTAGACATGCTTTTATTTACCTATTTGCCCAGTGGGATCCCTACCCAAGAAGAGAAGCTCGTGTATTTATGATAAGGAAACCATGTGGAATAGCCAAAAAAAAAACCTGTGTGAGAAAATGCACTAGTTTACATATCACTCTTGGTTCACCTGCAGTCAAAACAGTTACATTTAGTCTAAACTGCTTTGAGAAAGAGGTTCAACAGGGAAATACAACACAGGAAACATTTTGCCAAGGAACGCTACCAGTGCAAGCCTTTAAAGGTAACACTCAGTACATGGCTACAATACCATATTCTGTTTAAACTTGTTCATCATTGTCTTCTTGCATGACAGCCCTGGCATTTAAAATATGTTAAGGGTGACACAATACTTTCACCTGGTGCAGGCATATATCACTGGAAGGATGTTCTCATAAACAAAGTGCTGCAGGCTATGATCTTATCATTCTGCTCTTCCTTCTTCTCAGTTCAGTTCAATGACAAACACGTATTTCTATTCTTTGCTCCAGTTTCTGGTCTAGAGGAGCTTCGTATTGGAACAACAGGTGATGTTGCAGATCAGGAATGACAAGCGCTGGAGGTGGCCTGGTGGAGGAAAGCAACAGAAAGGGCAGTGAGAAGGCAGCAGGCTTGATATTGCTTTGACTGGTACCCTGCTATTACACAGCCCAGCAATGTTGCAGTACAAGTGAAAATTTACTCACGTGCCTGCCTGCACATGCACATTTTTGAGAAAAATGTGAGGAAAAACATTTACATGTAATTAGCTGACTCTTAGTGCAGCTCAGCTGAGGTGTTGGGCAGACACTAGACTTCCAGGTAGATCACAGATAAAAGACTAAGGCTGTTCTAGAGAAAGCTGAGGGTAATAGTTTAATAGTTCAGAAGAGAAATTCCCTCAAAAATTATCAGGCATCTAAGGATGTTCTTGCTCTGATCCGTTACATCCCACTGTAGCTCTGCAGGACTTCCCTTTTCCTCCACTCCTCCCAAGCTCGGCCCTTGATGGGGCCCAGGGGTCTTTCTCTTTGGATAGCCCAAGTTATCATCTTCAAATTACTTAAGAGTTAATCATCATTTTCTGTTTAAACACACTGGTCTGTGGACTAAAGCTGTGTAAAATTCCCTGCTCAGGCTTCCTGAACTTCTTCCTGTGACAATGTATGAAACAGGCCCTAGAACTCCTGTAGAGTTACCTTACACATGTAACCTTGTTTTTTCAGGTTATCCAGTTATTTATCTGACCAATAAAAAGTATTGTCGCTTACCATATACAAACATAATGGTGAGAATGAAAAAAAACTAAAATGCATTTGAGTTCAAGTTTATGGAATTTTGGCTAAAAAAAGTGTGTATTTTGCACAATCTTTGTGCTAATAAAAATGCCATTTTTTTCTCTAATTTTATAAATGTCAGGAAAATATTTTTTCTGTCCTCTGAGTGTTTTTAGGATTCCATTTTTTCCAACTAATTCTTTGGCTCACTGATAAAAAAACCAGACTGTGTCATCTGAGATATTTCAGTTCAGTAATTTCAAACTAATTCCCTTTTTAACTTTCATTTTTAAATTAAAATATGAAACTAAAGCATATTTCAATGTAAGTAAATATTGGTAATGTAGAAAATGTCTGGTTGGATATTTAAACTGCTTTTTAAACATCCTTTGTATTTTAATTTGGATTATATGCTTCTTCAAAATCAGTTGTTTCCTCTGAGCCTTTCTGATATTTTGGCATTTTCCAAAACAACGTTTTAAGTGAAAACCTGAAGCCATCTTTTTTTTCCCTTCTATTCTGCACATAATCCACTGCTATCATCTTTTCAGTATCTGAGTGTATTTTTATTTGGAATATCTTCTGAGGTGAAATTATTGAGAACTTGGCAGACTGAGTCAATCCAACATTCAAAATTTCATACGCCATTAAAATTATCCATTCTGTTGCGCACTGATGTAAAAGCTCACATTTCTTGAGGCCTGCATATATATGGTCCGTTGCCATTTCTGTTCCTCTCAAATAGGACTGATCTAAAATATTTCCATTGAGGTAAAAATGTGTCTGAGGAACCTTTGCACAACTATGTCTTTGCCAGAGTGTAAAATCCACAGCAAGTTTTCCTGTTAGGAGGATTCCATCCTATAAGAAAAGCATACCTGATATTTCAGGGGAAATTTTCGTACAACACGGAAAGGCAGCGTGCCAGTTGCCAAGAGCCTGGCTCTACTGATAACACCCGGGTACTGTCACAAGAGGAGTGCAGATTGTCTAAAAACCCGAGTTTTTGAGCAGGCTTCTGGATAGAGGAGCAAGCTTTCAAAACAATCATTTTCCTTATGTAGGAGTAGCTGATGGACCAAAGTCCATCAAGCCTGTGTAATTCTTCTCCAGATATATTTTCCCCATTCCTATCACTTGGTGAATTAGGTAGAGGCTGATAGTACACGTTAAATAAAACCATAATAATTAATGATATCAGATAACTATCTTCCATGTATCTCTAGTCCTTTCTGAATTTGTTTATATTTACACTGTTCTGTGACAGTTATTCCTGTTACTTAATTATGTGCTGTGCAACAACACTTTGTTTCATTCCCTCTAAACCTTTTCTTGGTCCTTGTTCTAAAATGGTAAATAAGCATTCCTCTCTTCACAACATTCTTCATAACAACTGTCATTTTACAAATCTTAGTCACCTCTTTACCAAGCTGAGGAGTTCTAAATTCACACAGCTTCTCCTCACATGGAACTAGATATGCTACAGTTATGGACAGGACAACCATCATCAAACCCAAATGTTGAGAGACTGAAGCTCTTACAAAAAATAATAATAACAATAATTAATCCTAAAGGTGAATATATCTGAAGATCAGGCAAATCTTTAAAGCCTGCCTGAAGCAAAATCATGTAATTAGAATCATACTCATAAGTGTTAGAGTCTTAAAACATTAATAGATCATTTTAATGGAAGAAGTTATTAAAAAATATACTTGATTTGCATTATAACAACACTGAATGCACTATAGAAAGCTGAGTCCATGACAGAAGTACAGTGCAAATAGTCTAATAGAGTCTCTTATTATCCAAGCTGGAACTTTAAAATTGATCATGCTTTACAGTTCTGTCTGTATTTTATTTAGTTTTATTTGTCTTCTAAATTGATAAGAACTCCTGTTTTTATATTAGAAAATGAGAAGGATAAGGAAATAGTTTTAAAAGGAGAGAGAAAGATTGAAATGAAGCCTCAGAAAAGTAATATGAGCATCCAAAAATATTCCTCCCCAATATATGTAATTTCTATCATATATTAGAAGTGATATGGTTCTGATCTTACTCTCTCATAACCATTATCAAAACTCCCTTAAACTGCAGTGTTTCTGTATATGATTTAGGAAGAAGTTGCGCCAAATGTGGAAACAATTATAGAGAAATTCGTGATTCATTAGTAAACATATCATGTTGTATTTCTGTTACGAGCAGAGTATAATTTCTGGATGTCTAGATGACATCTTTCCTATTGGGTATTTCCATCACTGATGTGTTTATAAAATTGCCCACATTTCATTAACCAGTCATCTCCCATAATCTTGATGCACAAATGTTTTCCTTAATCCAGCAAGGAGCTTCTCCCTAAGAAACCTAGGCTAGTGTTAGACAGTGACAAAGAGGAGTTCATTGGAGTCAATGGAATAATTCTCATTATTTCAATGGAGTTTGGAATAAACCTGCATGGGTTACAAAATACCTATAATCACAAAACAGAAGCCAGATTACAGTGATCCTATTCCTCAACTGAGATATTTTGGAATTTGTATTCTATAGAATCCCTTTAAATACTTCTGGAGTATGACCCTGATGCACAGTTGTTGAAATTAATGTTTAGAGTTGAGCAGAGTGGAATTGTTATTGGGCAGTGCAAATATTTAAAAATAATGTCTTTGTTTTCAGCAACTCTATCATTTAGAATAAAAGGGCCAGTAAAATTCTCCAAAAATAGGTACCATTACCTATAGAGGTTCTGTAGACAGAAAAATGAACTGCAGCTTCTGAACCTGAAATATTGTGGTTTAAAAATCAATGATCTGATTATTAGCAGGTTTAAGTCATCGCAGTAATGATGCTGTGCCACTTTACAAGATACTAGTAAGCTGTCTTGCCAGTAATCAAGACTATTCCCTGTGAAATAAGGACCAAGGAAAGGAGAATGTATAAGTTGATATTTTCTCTTCACAAAGGTGTGGTAGGCAGAAATATTAATGCATATAACATATACCTTGCCTACATTATCCGCATGAGATTAAAGAAATACTGTGCAGAATAATCTTGGGAAAGGCACTTCTTAATGGAAACTAAAACTCTTACAAGTACTCTGTAGGTTTCTCTTAATTATAAATGACAAAAATGAAAATAAGGCTTTAATAGGCATGGGTTTGAGAAAAGTTCAACTTTCTTTAAAAATCCAGAGCATGTTACACTCTTTTGTTTTCTCAAACCCAATTATTTAACATTATTTCATCCTTAGAGAATCTCCATTTTTTCCCCTTTCTGTACATGGCTTTATTATGTCTATATCCCACAGCCCAAGGAAATAAATATAATTTCTATTAGTCAGTAGGTAATGAAAATAGTCTGAAGAAACGTCACTTTTTTTTTCCCACTGAATTTTTAGTGTAATTTCCAGAGGAGAAGGACAGCTCTTAATACAACAGCCACTTGAATGGAAATCCAATACAAGCTATACAGTCTGCTACAGAAATGCAGCTTTTTTAACATATCAGCATAATGAGTCCTTTCCAGCATTTCTTTTCTTTCAAAAGTGTTTCCCTTCTGCAGCATAAAAAGTGCATCTCTTCTGATTCTTTTGAAAATCACTTTTTTTAACAGCTCATTTAAGAAAATACACATTTCAAGTAGTATATTTTCAGGTCCAATATCTCGGACATTCATGAAAAATGCTCTGACCTATGCATTATGCTCATGATTTTCTCACTATGAAATGGATTCTTGAAATCACTTGTTTTTAAACTAATTGCTTCAAATCACTATGGGGATGATATGTCTAAATTCCATTTAATAAAGATGATGACCAAGTCTCCGTATTCTCAATTCAGGTATTAAGGTCCCACTATCCCAAAAAGAATTTTAGGAATACAGTCAATTAAGAGAGAAAAACTAAAATACATAATGATGAATTAAATTTAGATGCATTTGTTTCAAATGGCCCATAAATCTGAAATAACCTGGATTGTGATGACATTAAATGACCAAATATTTACAGTAGATGAAGACAGCTTACAAAAAAAGTAAAAAGAGTAAAGGGAGAGAACTGGCATATACTTATTTGTATTACAGTATGTAGAAGTTCGACACAGGTTTGTATGCTATAAAATTATATCCAATATCCAGCAATATATTCCTTTGTATTGCCTTGGTGTCAGGAAACACCTTCCAAGATTTTGCATTATGCATTGCACTGTTACATTATACTTCAAAAACCATGGAACAAGAAAATATTTTGCCTTGGAAAACTAACTATCCAAATGACTGCAGTAAAAACATCTGTCTGGGGATGTGGGACCTTAATTCACCTGAAAGTATTTAAAAGTCCCAAAGCACCCAGATTTCAAAAGCAGCAGAGCAGAGAAGTGAGCAGTACTGTTGTCCTTATGCTGTTTTTTTGTGGACAGTGGCAGAGCCTTGTACTGAGATTCTAATTCTGCAACCTACCTGTTAAGAGTAAATGGAAATACACACATTTTCTTGCACGCAGAGTGAAATGATCAGTGAGCTAGTTCCATTTTGTGCATGTCAGAGGTTTGCACATCTCTGGAACTTTTTGTTTAGCAAAGCAGATGTGCAAATGGATTTGGCAATGATCTCACCTCTGAGAATCGGGTCTTTCGCCTGTATTATTCTCCTGCAGACAGTAAGAGACCTGTGGATCATCTGGCATTTCACACTTGCAGCTAATATAGAAATTGTGAAGATAAAAGCATGCATTAGTAATAGAAGCAACATTGCAGATACAAATCAACTATATTTAATGGGAAAGGTGCAAATCCACATTATGGCTCAGATATGTATTAGCTACAGCCTTGCTTTAACCTAGAGAGAAAGAAATATATCCAAGGGATCTTACCTCAAAGAGTCTCTCTTTTCTTTGGCAGAAGTGAAGATTAGGCTAAAATTGGCAATGGGTTTTAGCTGTAGTTGGGGAATATATGATTTAGTTCACACAACTTTAGCTGATAGGCCACTCTTGCTTCAAGATCCTGAAAGGCAATAAATACCTATTCATAATCAATAGAGCAATGAACTTAAAATAGAGCCGAGGACCCAGTCGCTGCTCCTTTGGCCTGGGCTGAGCTGACCTGGTGAATCTTTGGGGAGATGAGATCTTTTCACCCATCCAGTGCTCTGTGACTCCCCTATGTGCTTCCAGAGAGGCTCCCAAGTGCAGGAATTACAGCAGCCTTTCACGCACCGTCTTCTTGCTGACAGCAGATGCTCTGTGCAGCAGCTTGGGCTGTTTGCACTTCAAACGCTGCAGCCTCTATTAGCGGTGCTGTCTTCACTAAAACAAATCTATCTAATGCAGAGCGTGTTTGTGTCCTCTGCCTCATCTAGTAGGAAAAAAAAATAATGTTGGGTGGCTAGAAAGAGGCCGTCACCGCTTAAACAGCAGTTTCCCTTAGTCCAGGGAATTCAGCTCTGCGGTTTTCTGAGTTTTCTTTGTCAGTGTCTAACAGGTGGCTGCTCTGATGCCTCCCAGCCTACAGTTTGATGCCTTGTGGCTTTCTTCCTGGCTGAGAAATGCCACAGATGGAAATGAGCAGTTTCGTCTCCTCCTGCCAAGTGTACAGTGATCAAGAGGTGGCAGCCATTGCCGCCTGCCTGGAATTTTGGAGCAGAAGTCGCATGGGAGGCCTGCTGGATGGAAACAGAATCCAGTAGCACTAGCACATCTCTCTCTGAAAAAGGAGGGGATGTGGAAGAACACGCTCCCCTCGTCAGAACTGGCCCCTTAGTGGCTACGTGACATTCAGCTGGAGCAGGGAAACCAGTTTATCACCTCGTCACTGAACTGCATGATCTCCAGGCAAAGCTGAGGCATACCCAGGAGCCCGGAGATAAGATTACCTCATCAGCACTGTAGTCTTGTTCCAAAGATTTTCTTGTTTTGCACCCCAGAAAGTGGCATCAAAAATATGGTGGCATTCTCAGTTCTATGAGCACTAATTCATAGATTCTTCTATCAAAGAAAACAGTGTCTCTCCTACCTACCTTGCTGAGTCCTGTTAGAGCATGTTCAAGCTCCCAGTCTAGGTCAGATCTATCATAACCTAATGACTCCTTTGGTGCAGAATTGTATAATCATGTGGGAAACACTTTTTAGACAGAAAAGCTATAGATTGCATGTTTTTGTGTAAAGGCAGGATGGTACGCATGCCTTCTGCAAATTGTATTTTGCATGTCATTTAGATTAGTAGGTGTATATATTCAAAGAATAATCAGAGGTATATGGAAAAACATGTATTAAGGGTTCATTACAGAGAAGGAAGTTATAGATAAAGGGGACAGAAAGGGAAGAGAATAAACACAGAGACAACTAAAAGAATGATGGGCACGACAGGCAGGAATCAGGTAGGACAGATCCAAGATGGAAATTCAAGTTGGAAAAAATGTGTCTCTGGCATCGTGCCTCATATTCCCTTCCTACCAAGATTTAATCACTCCTTTTCCATCACTATCTGAACTGCGCTACCATCCCATCATCAGTTTTCTTTCTCTGTGAAACATCAATAGGAAAATTCACAGAGAAGAGCACTGTTTTTGCATGCTGGATTTACTGTAATGAGATCACTGGCATACTGGTTTATTTTAATCTTCTCAGAAGGAATACCTAAACAGTGGTGAGGTCATGGCTTAGTAATACATAAAAAGACAGTTGTGCAGAAAAGTAAAAGAATTCCTATCATTTAGTAAAACCAACATAATTTGTGCCACTCAAGTTTGTTGGACAAATTAAGATGTGGGATTTTCTTGTCTGTTGTGTATTTTTATTGCAAAAAGCAGCCTCGTTCATAGCCTTTTTTAAAGTATTACATAAATCCCAAGCAACTTGCACTTAAACCAAGGCACTAAAGCAATGTTCTACTTTGAGCAATCATCTAGAAGCAATCTGTGTCCACTACACATTCCGAGGCATATCATGTCAAGAGGAGGAAAAAAAATCAGACTCATATGATAACGTGAATGTCACCACACTGCCTTTGTTAGACCTTGTGTATCATTCAGAGCTGTGGAGGCCTCGCTGAGATTGTCCTAGTCCTCTTCTCTTCCAAGGAGAAAAGTCCTTAGGGCATCCCCGGTGCCATGATATCAGTATTTAGGATGATGCATTGGTGCCAGTGGAGTAATGTCAGGCCTGAGTTTAGACCATGATATTTCAGGCAATAAGGGTGTCTCAGAGTGTAGAACTTTCACAGTTATTCTGATTTTATACCCAGACTTTTCCACTTTGTTTGCTAAGTGCAGTGGCAGGCTTAATGATACAATTCCAAAAGGTCTCTGGATAGATTTAGTTCTGGAAAGAAATACGTGGACAGATGGAATAAGATGCCTTATTTTACCATGGCCAGTGTATTGTATTTTAATGTGATCTAATGAACTTAAAAATGACTCCCTAGTGTGCTTGCTCCCTAGGTCAGAGGGGTTACTTTGAGTTTGCCGTGTTCCTGGGTTCTTGAGATAAATCCTTCCGGATTTGGAGGGTCAACAACAAAGTGCTGGTAACAAATACACTGCTGCTTTAATCTAGTGCTGTACTTTCTCCGTCTTTGCCACGTGGATTTGTACATGTTAACAGTTACACTGCTCGTAGTGCAGCAACTTTAGGGCATCAATAACATGCAGCTTAAAACCAATATCCCTTTTGTACCTGGAGACTAAACATCCGTGATGATTTGTGTGTCATAGCAGATGTCCAGGCTTAGATTTGCTCAAGGTGTTTAAGAGTTTTAGTTAGCCAAAAAGGAGTGGAAAAATAATAGAATATATCAATAGGGATGGGAAACTGTGTGCTCTAAATCCAATTTCAAGCAAAGGACCATCTCTACGTATAACTAATATGCATAAATATAAAAAGCTTTTCTGTTTAAAAAAGAATAATTAATAATGTCTAATGGTTGTAGATTTCTATGTATAAATTGCAGGCTCAGAGGTGGGGAAATGATTTAATATTGCATTTTTTAAATCAGGCTTTTAAAAATTGTTTAAAATGACAAGCAGATAGGGTTTCCATGCTGGAACTGAGACCTTTGTTCTCTTATTTGTACTAAAATTTTAGCTTGAGCTCACATTGTCATTCTATACAGACTGCTTTCCAGACAAGCTAATTTGTCTACCTGTGTTCCATTTTAGGTCTTGATTTTAATTTGAGGATGATTCCTGCTAATACCAAAGACTGGATAGGACATCCATTAAAAGTCTATGCAGCAATTGAAATGGAAAATTCCAAAAGAAACCCTATTAGAGTTTTTCTCCATCAAATCAACATTACAGACTTCTTATGCATTTCTTAATTAGACATCGATATTAACTGGACTGTTGCATGATTTAAATCTAGCTCTTAATCTCAGCTATTCTATGCTGCTGTAGTTTTTATGACATCCAACTAGCGACTGCTTTATGCATTAATCTATCTGGAAAACCACCTTCACATTTTTTGTCTTTTTTTAGAAGAATAAAGGCCCCAAGAAGGAAATGAAAGCTTTTGGGTTCAGCCATTAGTAATTTTCTGCTTAGTATTTGAAAAATTGCTTATTTTAATTGCTTCATAGAAGAAAAAGATATCAAAGCTAACGTTCTTTCTCTCCAAACTTTGTAATTATTTCTCTCAGACTCTTATTTGAAATGCCTTGAAAGGATTTTCATTGAAATGTAGATTTCGTCTCTTTCAAAAGTACTTTTATTCCCTGGTGTTTCTCTCTCTTTTTTTTTTTTTTTTTTTTTTTTTTCCCTAGTTATTCCTCTCTGGTTTTAGAACAACAATACGTAGACTCTGGTCTGTGGACACTATAGCATGTGTCATGTAGATGTCACCTAAGGACCATCACTTTTAAGGTAACTTTGCCATGCCCAAGAGGGTGACAATAATCTCTGTTTTACACAGCACTTCCAGGCCGTGAGCCTCCTACCTTCTTTTCAGAGCAAACAGGCAATGCCAGCTCCTCTTTGACAGGAAAAGTACAGCAAGGAAACATAAAATAATTTGCCATTCTCTATCCCATGGTCAGTACTGTCTCCTGAGTCATCTACTCCTGACCTTTTCCTTTTTATGATACCTAATACCAAATAATGAAGACCTGAACCTTGGCTGCTAAAAGAAAGGCTCTGCTGAGGGCAGTCATGATAGTCTGAACATCATCTCCACAGATTGCAGTGATCCCTGAATATCACTGTTAGGACCTGCTGAGCCCCTGTAAAATTCATAAGCCAAAGTCTTCCAAAACAGTTGCCAATTTTACATTTCCAGGTAGGGTTTTCAAAAGCACCTGAATTACACAGATGTGTTGGCCTCAGTGGGGCTGGGTACAGAGGGTTTATCCAAAAGTGCCCATAATAATCACATATGATCAATGCCCTCATCAATCTCTATGTCTAATCTCTATATTCCATTTCTGGAGTTTGCAGCAATAGCTGAACCTAAATAGAAACTAAACTGATAATCCAAGCGAAGTCCTTCAAATATAAGTGAATATGAGCAAAAGTATCCTAAAACAGTGCTAGATAAAACTGCCAATACTTTGCTGAGGAAATTTTGCAGTTTCTCAGCATTTTCTGTGCATTTTTTTTCTGAGCAGACAAGCCATTTTGTCACTGACAAGGAATACATAAAATTAATTCCTTCCCTCTTTCATACGTCTAAAACTTGAGTGATTCAGAATGATGTGTGTACCAAAACTAGATATCTTTTTAAAGAGAAAATCAGCAGAAGCTATGAGCTTTATTCAAAACTACTTTTTATTCAAAAAGTTCTTTGTTTTACCTAGACATTTTCAAGAAGCATTATCTACCAGATTGGGATCCAGTCACTATGATCAATAAATTCATTTCGTCACTATGATCTATACATTCATTTCATCCAAAGAGCATCTGTGTAATTCACAGCATCTAAGGATGAGGCAAAAGGCACATTTGTTTACAGTGCAGCAATTCTTCTGCTCAGCAGAGAAGGGTGCAGAGAAAATACTGTCCTAAACCCCTTTGGTTTACTTTGAGTCCTGGGCAATTTCTCATGCCAGTACGAAAACATCTGTAAGAGCCTCAGAAGAGTGGAGGTCTGGCTCCCTCAGAGTCCTTAAAAAATCACTGTTCTCCCACAAAAAAAAAAAACAGCAGACCAGCAGGCCTAGCAGAGCTATAGTAATGATCATCATATAAGGGAAATATTCACAATGGGGGAAAAAGAAAGAGAGAAGATAGCAATGAAGCTAAAGCACCCTTACGATCAGATTTCATGAAAGATTTTCTTTTTCCAGGAGCACAAAAGGAAATATCAGAACAAGAAAATGAGTTAAAGAAAGATAGAGATATTAAGCAAACTTACTTCTTTACTCCTTGAATTTACAATCTTGATAAAATCTTGGTATGAAATTACTCAGGATTTTTAACATGCAGATGCTACAGTTTTCAATATGAGGTCCTAGATCTGGCTAGACAGATTACCTTCTTATCCCCATAAAGAAACTTAATTATCCTTTTAGTATTATCATTAGTAGATTCTTTCAGACATTTTCTGAACTGTTTCTGGGGTCAGTCGGTAAAGTAAATACAATGATTTCAACTACATTTTTCTGATGGCAGAAAATCTCCAAAGATGCCAGTCTGTCCTGAGCTTTTTGACTAAGCAGAACAATGTCGAGAATTTTCTCAGCACCATTCTGGAAGCGCCTAATATCTCACTTGGAAAACTTGGAATGATATTTGAATGACTGATCTTTGAAATAGAATAATTCCCTCGTGAAATCTAGGATGGAAATGGCTGCATGATCTAAAACATGCTGCCTTGTATCACAACAGCTGCAGCAGGAGTGAATGCATCCAAGCAGTTACAGCCAAAATGACTAAATAAATTGGTTCAAAGTAGTTGTAACACAGAGGGTCATATATGCTACTGGTACTGAGCAGTCTCTAAACTTTGGGAAACTTTTCTGATTTCATCTGCAAAGACAACTATAATACACACTATCTGTTATCACTACTTTCTATATTTCAACAAAACTACCACAGAGTAAAACTCTAGCCAACATGGAAAGATTGGGTAAGATAACCCAAGTATCAAAGAGAATAGGGTAATGTGTGTCTTTTCTGTCTTAGAGCTATTTTTTGATCTTATTATTTTTGTAAAAGCTTCAGTTAAATAAGAAAGATTCAAATAAGAACACAGAGAAATGTTACAGTACACTAAAATATAAATAGCCTTTTTTTGAATCAGTCAATTCATCAAAAGGTAGAAAGGTATTACAACTAGTGTGTGTTACTGACTCTGTTTTGAGTGAAATGCTAAATCTCAAAAGACTGACCTGGCAAAATAATTTGAAATATAAATGGTGTTGCTATGTGTGTGTGTATGTTTTATTGAATTGAACAGGCAATCCTCGAACACAGTTTCATGACTAGACTGGAATTAAACACAGACTTTTATATTGTATAAAACACAAATTGAATAAAAATCCACTTACACTGGAATAATGTTGATGTTTCATTCACAGCTTTACATGGAAGTTGCTTCTTCCCAATGCAACTTCTAATTGCAACCTGAAAGCGGAGTAGAATGGGATGATGTGGTAGTCCCAGAGTCTTCATGATCTGTCCATCACACCACAAGCAGAGGTTCAGATTTCCCTACAGGAGAAAAGACCAAGTTTTCAGTCACACCCAACCTACAGTTTTTCTTGATGAGTGTATCACTCTTAATACCTCCAACAGACTGACAGAATAGGTAATCTGTTCTCTAGAAATACAATAAGCAGTGCTCCAAAGGGCATGGCATTTATTCAATTAGTCATTTCAGTGATTCAGAATAAATATAAAAAGAAAAGATGTCTAAATCAACAAGCAGCACATCCCAGGATAGAGAGTCCTAGGTTGGGTTCCCAGTTCAGCTGCTGAGAACCAGTTATTTTAACTCTCAGCCTAATTCCATCCGTTTGCCTCTGTAAAGCAGATACCTCCTTTTGTAGGACTCTTGCTTGGAGTTTGTACAATACTTAGCAAGAAAACTGGGCCTTGATCTCATCCATGCCCTCACTCTGTGTGACTGGCAAACTAGTGATAAAAAATAATAATAAACTCTGAATAAATTATGTATTGTCTTCATAGCGAACCAAGGCTTGAGCATTGTGATCTGGGAGAAGTCCCACTTAAAAATCTCCCTAGCATAAAAATAATTTGGATCCTGTCACGTGAATGGACTGTATTTACTGTTCTTTTCACTTACCTTCCTGTTGTTCATTTTTTCCATTGACTTACAGCTGTTCCCTGGCTGTGAGCAGGACCTGGGCAACAAAACTTGCTGGAAACGGGATATATTAAAAAAAAAAAAAAAGCTGAATCAACAGACAAATTATCACAACAATATGAAAGTATCAAGTATCATGCAAACAGCATATGCAAACTTATCAATATCTCATGATTCATATTACAGATAGAAGAAATGGCAAAGAGGATTTTTGAACAGTAGCAATGAGTTTGAAACAACACTGCATTTTGAAATCAAAAGAAAGTTGGGTTGGGTTTGAGTTTGTCTGAGCAACAGACGTTCTCCTTCCTGTAACTTTTATAACATTAGGGCAGCATCTGTGGCTTACAAAAAGGCAGCACTTTGACTATCTTATTATCAAAGACTACTCCTTCAGAGCCAAGACAATGAGCTTAGCATCTCTGCTCCAGGATTTTATTTGAATGGTTGAGCTCAGGAGAACATCTCCCTTCTCCTCTTCCCTCAAAAACGAAGGGCTTCAGAAGTTGCATGGAATGTCCCCTTGGCTACCCTGTTCATTCTGATATGAAAAACAATGTATCCCATCAAACCAGAGCATTTGCTGCCTGCTTCATCCAGGAACCATTGTGGAAGGCAGATGGTGACTAGACTTTCAGGCTATTAGAAAGTGAAGCAGTTCCCACAGTATGTTGAGCTTGTCCACAGGTGTGGATCGTTTTCCCAGAGAGATGGAGTAGAACAGAGCAGAGCAGAGACAGAAACATCATAAGTAACCTCATGGATGTTTTACTGGGAGGAAGGGGAGATTAATTATTGGAAAAACATCCCCACCATTAAGTGGGGAGCACTGCAGCTATTGCAGCACTGTAACAGGGAGTTTCAGTTTGTCTTTAAGACATGTATCCTAAGGAAACATTAGCAATTGCTTATATATATATATTTTATATATAATATATAATATATAAAATATATATATTTTTTCCCCTTACCTCCTTGATTCCTATGGGCTGGCAGTTGCCTTGCCTAATGGAAAGATTCTTTAGAAGAAGAATCCCCCGTAACCCAGGGATTGCTAATGCAATATCATGCCTTGGGCTCTCACCCATGAACCCATGTCAAACAGAGTTTGGTAAATGACCAATATCCCTCACCATCCCAGCGGCTGTGTGGTGACCTGTGTGAAATGAGGAGGGTCATCTCTGTGTCTATTTACTAGAAGGCAAGTGTCAACCCCACTATTAAAAGGGACATGGTCACTACTCATTATCACCCAATTTAATGTTCTTAAACAAAGGGCAGAGAATAAGCTCAGGAAACTGAGTCATCTTCTCACTCACGGATGGTGGTCCCAGGTCATCAGGGCTTGCAGTACATCCATGTGGACAGATGCTCTGTAGCAAACCAGGCTGTGCCTCTCCTACAGGCAAGAAATCTGAATTCCGGGCTGGTATGAGTGGCCACATTTCTCCCCAGATCAACACATAAATACACAAGAACAGTTGAAATCTCAGATAAAGAGCACTGTGCTGGTTACTAGCTGTATTCAAAAGGGTTGGAGGCCAGAAGTTCACTCCAGTAACCATTCTTGCTGTTTTCTCCATGTATTTACTCATTTAAAAGTCAAATCTTTAACATCAAGAATCTGTTAGAAGAAAAAAGAAGAATTGTTTTAAAGGTTGTTTCCATTCTGAGGGTTACTGTGGAAGGTCTGGGAAGAGAAAAGGAAGGACAGGGACAGGTGAATACTTGGCCAAGTGAAAGACAATTACCCCAAAATTTCAAGAAATCTGCAGAAAGCTCTGAATCCTACACAAAACTCCTGCAACCTTATTTTTGCCCACAGTGCTTCTAGTCATCCCAATCATTTTCTAGCCTACTTGTGCCATAGTAGCGATAACATTGTCAATGTCAGCAATGAGTTACTCTTTAATCCATAGTATCTTGATTAATTGCATTAATTGGGTATACCTATGTTAATTAAACAGGAGATGGCAGAGGCAGCTTTCAATTCTTATTCTTTTGTGTGGATCATTTCCCAGGGTTTCAGAGGTTGTGGAAAAATAATAATACAGACACATCACACACAATATTTCAGCTCAGCTGATGAAGCTATTTTACTTTTCAGTGATCCACAACTTTTTTTTTTGCATATCATAGTACAGGCTTAATTACCATGCTGCTGCATGGCAGCTCCTCTCAATTTTGGTTTTATTTTTTGGTATTATTTGCACATTGTAATCATGTTTTCCTGTCATCCTCAAGCAATGTGCGTGTGTGCGTGCAGGCAAATGCCAAAGCCTGGAAAGGAAATTTGATGCGTGTCCATGAATTGGAGTTTTCAAACTTTGGCTGAAGACTAGTACATGTAAACATAGCTCTGCCTCCTTCATCTTGGATAATTGGTCACAAATGCTACTTGACACTTCTCAAATCAGACACTTTACATACTTCTAAGCATAGCTGAACTTTTTTGGCAGGAATTAATTTGCTTTGCAACTCAGCCACTCATTCTTGGCCTGATCCCTCCTCCAGTGATTTCAGCACAGCGTCTGCCAGAGCGAGAGAAGCAAAGAGGCAGGAGCAGCGATTTTTGCTAGCGTCGACTCGCCTGGCTTTGTTGACTCCATCAGAAATACAATTACCCCAGCTAATGTTCTGCCCTTTGCCAGCCTTGATTAACAGGGGGATTTTTATCTTCAGAGCACTCTCTCTATTCCAGTTACTGTCTGGGTTGCATCGCACCAGGGGACACGTAAAGTAACGAAGAAGGCAATATAGTGTCATCAAGAAATGCAACAGCTAATACATCAGGACCCTTCCTGATCAGCAGGCAGCAGTGGCAGCATCAGCTTGTGTGGGAGATAACTGCAAATGCTCTCCTCCCCACAAAGAAAAGTCACAATGTTCTCCTGCCCCTCCAGCAAGCCGTGCTTGCTCCAACAGCCCAGCTTGTGAGCAGAGAGGGGGAATCCAGTTCTGAAGTATTGATAAAGCTTGAAGTAGTCACAGAATTTCACCTTATTAAACAGTCTTCTGCTTGCTCTGATACTGCTGTGAGTTTGCTAACCATGCACAGGTACTAGCAGAGCTAGGCAGACCATACTCTCACAAGAGATGACAGGTCTCAGGAAGCATTGCTGTGTGTAATTCCAGTGGTGTTTTGGGACATGAACACATTCTGTAAAGATTTTCACAAGAAAAATTATACTTTATCTGGTGATTTATATATGTCCAGTTTCTGGACTCAATGGCAGTTTATCATCATATCCATGTACGCCCATGAATAATCAGTGGAAAGTATCTCCATGTATTCACTGGGCTGTTGATAAGCTGAAGCTTATTAAAAACATTTGTCAGTTCATTCTTTTGGACTATCAAGAAGGATGTGTCCAAGTATGCCCCGCTCATGCTGGTTTACTCATTCAGAAAGTAGACAGAAAATGATGAAACAGTGTCAGTTCTAGCAGAGGATGGGGGGTGGTATGGGCTGCATACATTATTGTCTTACTCATCACTAATACTAAATCTGTAAACCAGATTCTACACAATACACTCCTACCTGCAGAAGCGAAGGCTGAAAGTTCACACTCCAGGTATATTCCATGGGAGCACCAGATACATGCTTGGTCATGCACTCACGTTGGCTGCTGTCTTAGTGCTTCACACAGCTCAAATCACTGAAGAGGGTGAGACAAGGCAGGAGCAAGACAGGAGCTGCTTAACCCCTCCTTGTCCGGACCCCGGTATTCGGAGCTGTGACTGAGAGCTGAACCATTACCTGGCAGCGGACAGAGCCCCAGCTGCATCCGTCATGTCAGTGTGTGCTTGGTCCCTGTGCTTTTCTGCCCTTGCCACGGTCTTGTCAGGGTTCATCCCTAGAAGAGAAGGATGTTGGACTGTTACAAAAGATATGGCAGCTTCATAGGAGAGAGAGAATGCCCTCAATTGCCCCAAATGACTGCTTGCCCTTAAATTAGAGGAATAATGAGAAAAACATTCTAAGCCAATAAACCTTATTTTTTCATAGTAGCTTGCCATAAGTTAAACAGATTGGGACATGTCTTACTTCATCCTATCTGATTCTGACACTGGAACCACTCTGAGAGTGGTGTGTGCTGAACAAGGCACCAAACAGGGCAGAGATATAACACAGCTCTAAAATCTAAGCTGAGGGGAAGGCTGTATAAGTCTAACTTTCAGGTTCTAGGCATTTTAAAAAAAATTATTCTGAAAGAAGAGTATTCAAAAAAAAAAAGAGAATTACAGGTTATGGCCTTCCAACATTTGCAGTAAAAGAAGTAGTATTGTAATTACAAGACAGAGAACTCATTTATGTTGTTACGAGGTGAAAATGAAAGGAGCACTAATATGTATGGGGAGAAAATCTTGCAGAAGCAGAGACAAATAATTTATCTGGCTTTAAGAACTGCTTTCTGCAGTGGCTAGCAGCTCACATCCATTTTCCACACTTGTACTCACCAGGTAGGTGTGGATCTGCAATGTCCGGGGATTTAGGAGAAACCACTATAGGTCGCTAATGTCAGGCACAAAAGGGAGTGAGCAAAAACCCAGAGGAGGATGAGACCTCACACACATGAGTTTGTGAAGCCTCAGCCCTCAGCTGAAGCTCCCCACCGAACACACTGGGAACTGTCAGCTCTCTTTGTACCTTTGAACTTCTCCATAGACTTCATTAGATGAAAGCAAAAAACTATATCCCAAGCGACTCTGTGAGCTTGATACCTCACAGGAAAATATCCTTCCTTACCTGAAAAAAAAAAAAAAAACCTCAAATTGTTTCCTTGTCTAAAGTGAGACTAAAATAGAAGATGATGATTTTTTTCATTGAAAAGTGGAGGCCTCATTTTGAATCCCTTTATTTCACTTAGGTTTTCTGAGACACTATTAGTACAGAGGTACCTCCTGTTGTAAATCTGCTGCACTGCCTCCTGGAAGGCTTTTCTGAAAGTGAACTGTTGCTTGAGTGGGTAAAGATTTACTTGCTTAATGCCTGGTGTCATCAACAAATTCATGCTGGCAATGACATCCTACTTGTCTAAGCTAATATATAGCTTTGCACTCCCCTTGTTTTTCTTCCTATTCAAACTTATGGCTTAGTGTCAGTGTCTGCCACTAGCGAACATTACAGCTGAGTGGATGAAGTGATGAATTAATGCACAGTTTGTATATAGATAATTAGAAGTCCGTCTCAATACATCATGTTTTTTAATATATCATCATTATGTATGTATTTAAAAGACAACTAAATAATATTATTTCTTCTATAGCTCCAGCTCTGACACCAGGAATGAACTGTGCTAGGTATTTTGGTAAAGATTTTTTTTTCTAAAAAAAATGATAGAACTACTTGGAGCTTAAATCATTTCTGTACTAAGTTCTCCCTACCTGAGAAAAGCAGTGTGTGTCAGAAGTAAAATTCCATKTTTGCCTGTGCTGCAAGAAATAAGAAAATACTTAATTATGACAATTCAAACCCATCTGGGTTCTTTCAAGTGCAGAATGTATTGATTTATAGTATATAAATACAGAAAAGGTGGAATTAAAAAGATGGTTTATTTAGAAACTAACTTATTCCTAAAATGTTTGTCCAGACCATTTTTAAATATGATTTTTTATCCCAGGTGAATTCCATGACATTTCTGAATCTCAAGAATTGCTGGTGAGTGATAGTAACTAAACAAAGTACTAGAGTATTTTGGTTCTTAAAAGGGATTTAAGGGTTTTTTTTTCGGTAGAGGGTATTATTTGTTTGATTGTTTTCTTTTGTGGAAGAAGGGGGTTATTGGACAATGATATTTAGAAAAGAGAGATTAAGAGCAACAGAGATTGAATTCATCACCAAATCTGGTCACTATATACTTATATATACTTATATGTTGCCACAGTCTGTAAGATTTGCGGCAAGTCAAACCAGGTTCCTGCCAGAATCAAAGACTTGTTCTGAAAGAAACCAGCAAGGGAAATCCATGCCAGTGTTTCAGCCTGACAAATGAACTTAGGCAAGTTGAAGATAATCATGATTATTTAATATTCCACAGTTTTATAATTCAATACTCTGTGGACAAAAAGATCAGAAGGCTGCTGAGTCCAAACTTTTGAATCTTTGGGTCAATATACTCCTCATGTCTTCTGCATTTAGTTTAATTTAGGAGGAAACTGTTCTGAGCTAAGATAAGATCTCAAACAAAATTGACATGGACTCACAACATGGTCTAACATAACAATTTAATCTAACCTGTGCTTCCCCTTAAAGAAAGCTTATTAACTATGGTATGAGTTCACCTGCTGCTTTTAACATTTGCTTGTTCTCTCTTCCTGAGCAAATTTGGTTTATCAGAGCTTTGGTCATAGTAGACAAATGTAAATTCCTGTAATAATAATGGTGCATTCAGCACAGGTTCAATGACAGTCTTAATGAAGAGTCTTTGGAGGTCAAGGATTTGTTTGGGTTGAAGAGAAATAATTAAATTTAAATTTTTCAGGTTAACATGTGATTTTAGCAAATATCACAAACTTTTCCTATATATCCACCGTTGGACATAAAAACTACAGAACTRTTCTCTAACCTCTAGAATAACTGTTGTAGGCATCTTAAACTTGTCGCTTCAAAATCTGAAGTTTCACAGTGGATTGTTTGGTGAGAAGAAAAGCGTGTCTCCTGTTCATAATATTGCCTCAGAATTTGTTGGTTCTTGAATGCTGAGGAAAAAGGAGTGGGAAATGTCCATGTCGTTACGATCCATCAGCAAACAGTTTGAGACTGAAATACTCAAACAGAGGAATCCAGACCAGATCYGGATTTTGGCCCAATCCTTACCATTGTCTTAGAGATAAGTACCTTCCAAATTCCTATGGGAAATCCTAGGTCCTTTATTGCTCTCCCCATCCCTAGGGAAACAACCAGAGCACACGTTACCACAACTCCCAGCCAGGAAAGAGCTCAAAGCTAAGGAGCTAAATGCCCACAAATATGGGTAAAAAATAGCAGACTTAGTGAAACTACCCTGCAGACAGTTTTACCCTGGAAAAATATCAGCCGTGTTGCTAGGCTTTGGGACACCAGCTTAGACCTTTTCATACACAGTGGAAGCTTTCTTCTTCCTTTGTTTCTTTCTTTCCCCACCGAGCCCTYTCTGTAATGTCCAGTTGCTTAATTCCATTTGAAATCCACCAGGGTAGGCACCTAAATACCTTTAATAATCTTGTCCTTCATGCCTGTCAACATCCTCAGGCACCTAACCACCTTTCGCGGTCTGGCGTGAAAGCTTGTGAGCGATGCARTCGAGGAGGGAAACAAAAGAGAAGTATCCCTATTTGCTGCCCAAGAATCCACAAAGAATGCTGCTTCAGCTCTGCTCTGATTTCTAATTAGATTATGAGTGATGTAGGACTCTAAAGCCAAGCTGGAGTTTGTGCTAGCACTTTGCATGTATGAATGACAAAGGGACACCACTTTCATATTGATTTAAGGGAGCGAGTGGAAGAATGTTTAAACATCAAGTGCCTTGATGCCCCAGTATGCCAGAGCACCTGGAAATATCAAATTAATTCCAGGTGTTCTGCCATTAAGACAGACCCGCCGTTTTTACAGCCACACGTACAAAATGTGGCTCCCAGTTCCACAAATAAAAAGTGAGTGGTTTCTGCCCCTACTGCCTTGATAACTCTGACATATTGCAAGTTCTGGAAAGAATTTTAATCTACATAGTTTTTAAATGGGGAGGCAAGTGGTGGGTTGCGGGAGGGGGGGATTTTAAATATGCTGCATACAATTTGTGATGGTCATCTCTAAAATGCAGCTCCATTATCCTTTTCCATTTGGAATGAATGAGGCTAATTAATTTCAGGCCATACTTGATGAGGTCAGCACCATACGAAGGGTGCGTGCTAGACATTGCTAATCTCTTTCAGCTGAGAGTGATGAATTAAAGATGAAGCATTCCTTTGCAGGCCTAATTTAGAATGTATATCAAAAACCTACAGCAAATAATACTATACCCTACAACAAAGGAAAACTTGTTCTCTCAGGCTCCCATGTAGGGTTGATTTTAAAGGCATTTTCATTTCACTTTGGAATTCCAGCTGTGGATGGGTGAAACAGTTCAGAAAATTCAAGCTTTCTCCCTTTCTATTGCTTTTATGGACAAAAGTAGCAAGGCGGGGGGAGAGCACTAAGGGGAGAGAGAAACTAGTCAGTGTTTGATCCTGTGTATATTGTGGTTGTGACTCTGTGTTGGACATTTAGGAAAGCTGACGGGGTCTTGCGTTCCCCAAGTACCTGTGACGTGACCCCCCTCCTCAGCGCACGCGGGGATTTTAGCAGCAGCTTCTCGGAGTCCAAGGGGAAGGCATCGGGTGTCCCGTTTGGCTAAGGTTCATCGCCAAGGGGGGTTGCTGAACGCTGCAGGGGTTTCCTGGGAAGTAGGTAGTGTCTTGTCCATCCAACGGGAGCTGCCAAGCCAACATAGAGCTGCGTTTCTCTATATGTCTTTGCTCTGGAAAAAAAGAAAAACACCATGCTGAGCAAAAGGTCTCATCACATCCATGAGCGCAAGTTCTAGCAGAGAAAGAGAATCGGGAAAACAGCCACACCAGGTCTCAAGGCAGTGTGAATTGCTAGAGATCTCTTGGCTTTTCCTGCAGTTTTGGCTCAGCCAAATTCTGCCACCTTTCCTTTAGCCAGAACCCTCTCTGAATTCAGTAGGAATTTTGCCTGAGCAAAGGGGCTGCCGAWTTCGGCCCCATGCGCGGCGAGGAATGAGCCGTCACTGTCATTGGCAAGACGGGGACTAGGAAACACAAATCCATGCATTAAAGAGGGAGGCTGGAAACAAAAGGCCACCAGCTTCCCCACCACTTGGTTGCTTAATACCTAGCAGTTTCTTGAAATTCTTGACAGGTTACTGCAAAGCATTGAGGTTCCCAACTGGTGGCCACAAGCGGCTGCTGTCTTTGTATCCCAGTAGTCCTCATTAGAACAAAGCTGCTTCGAATTAAATCCAATCTACATGCCGAATCAATCTTTCAACCCTTTGATTGCTTCTGAAAATATTTATATTTCTTAATAATGCACATTTTGTCCCACAGCCTGTGATTAAACCCAGACAAGGGCCAGAGAAGCCTGAAGTGTGTGTGGAAGGGGTTATTCTGGACAGGAAAAGAAAGATAAAGAACACAGGTTTTTCCTATTGTGGAGCCATTAGCCTGTATAAATCTAGCAATTTCAGTTGTATAAGCATCAGAGTGGGCTTGTAATAAATACAGATTGGGATATTATACTAACCAAATGGAGTTTATGGATTATGTTCACTAGTTCATATTTCTCAGCTACTACAGTCTAAAAAGCATTTTGCTGCACTCGACCCCATTAATATTCTGTATGAATATTCTCTTTACATGTTTGCAAGGAAAAAGAAGTTAAGAATCCGCCGCTGCTCYCTGTAAAACAAACATGTTTAAAGAATCATGGCCTCCAAAGGAAAAAATAAACACGGGGATGCTGTAAAGGAACCGTGTTAGAAGGGCACGGACTGCGGCTGCCTGCKCCCGGCTCTCTTCTACTTAAAGTTAATAACTTCCATCTGATTGAGAAGCTGGCCCTCGTGCAGGACATTTTCTGYGTGAAAATTAGGATGTAAAAATGAAGGCAATAGCTGCTACTATCCCTTACCGGTTAATTTTTTAGGTGGTAAATAATAAGGTTTGGCTTTGAAGCCGAAGAAAGGCTTTGAAGCTGCTCGTGGTGGTAAATAGCATATTCTTCCCTTCTCAAAAAGTCACCTACATCCCAGGTGAGATGTGTGAAGGAAGGATGTGTCCCTTGGCTGAGCAAGAGCCCAGATGGGGCCTGATGCTGGGCGACAGGAATTTGCCATTGATTAAGAACAGGGCTGTGGTTGAGGGTATAGATCAGATAAGGGCGCTGTACCTGTCTCCCTCCCTAAACATAAACAGCCGCACTTGTCTATAACAAAAGGGAAAAACCAACTTCCAAAAACATGCTTCAATAAATCCCCTTGGATAAAGTAGGTGCCTGGGTGAGAGAGAGAAAAATCTTCAGAACTAAAAATACACAATGCCCATTGAATATAGAATCACTGTCACTTGCTCATTGCAAATACAGCTAATATACTTTTCCAGTGGGCTGGTAAGTGCTTGCAATAGTATTGCAAGATTTTTAAAAAGGAAGGAAGGAAATATTCTTACCTAAAATACTATTCAGTGATTCTTTTACCATATTTTTCATTACATTAAGCTGTCATTTCCTAAATATGTTTGGGGGAGTATTATTATCATGTGTAAGGCCTCAGTCTTGACAGCTATGTGGCATTAATATAGGATTTGGATGCTCAGCCTTTATGGTAGGGAGAGGTTTATTAGCATCCCCAAAAATAAAGGGAGTGMTGACAATAAACCTATCACAAATAGGGCCGTATCCAAAGCCTAATGAAATGAATGAAAAATGGTTTTGGATGAGGTCCACAGCAGAATGTTATATTGTACAACTTGTATTTTCTGAATAACTTCTTATTGTTTGAAAAGCCTAATTTCACACAGAATTTGGAATTTGTTACCAGGGGGGGAAAAAAAAAAAAAAAAAAAAAAAAGCTTTTTAAAAAGCTTTTTGTGTAGAAACTATCAAATGTATCCGTTAGTGAACACACACATACCACAGAGGATATTGTCTTATTAAAGAGTTTAAGCCTAAAGGTGTATGCCTATTTTTAAAAGAAATTTTCTGATTGTAGATAACTGCTCAATTTGATTTAGTGTCCAATGATAGTGATGGGGTTGATAACTGAGCATTCATCGGTAATTCATCTTGTGCTAGTAGAAATTTACAGCAAAGCAGTGCTTTCCCAACACTGACAAGTCCTATTAATCTTCTTCAGACACATTTCAATAGGTGTCTCCATCTGTGCCCAACATCTAAACACTCTGGCATCACTAGGGACTTAGAGACACCTTCATTTCAGGTTACACTAGTGAAAATGTGATACTAGATTGTACTCTATTTTTAACCTAATTCCCTCTTTTCATTCAATTAGCCTTTCTTGCGTGCATTTTTTTCTAGTCATGTGTAACATCCTTTCCCCAGGAAGAGCTTAAAAATAAGATTTAGTTACTTAAAGAGACATAATCTGTCAGGCTAAGAGCGACCAAGAGCTGCAGACATAAAAGCAGCACAGTAAAGCTCACGCCTGCAGCGTGGAGACTGAATTGGCAGCCACAAAACCCACCCTGTGTAACCTGCCCACAATATACCTGTCCTCATGCATCTCTGGTGGGCCGTGTTAGGTTAGGGAAGGTTAGGACAGGTCTGAAGCGAAGTGCCCTATCTCCAGCTTCCCAAATGTTAAAAGAACCATGGAATGTTTGGGGGGTTGAAATGCRGTATATACTGCAGCATCCCTGTTTGTTCAGGCTGTACGCAGATCGCCACCACGCATCCCCACTTCTCTTTACATATACGGCTAATGCATGAACAAACATCACGCAATCAAATTACAGCAATAACATTCATGGGTGGATTAGGTTCCAACTTCCTTGCTTAGCACTAAATGTAAGTAAATTACAAAGCACATGGAAGGGGTAGGTTGCAAAAGCAAGTGAATTTCCACTCARATCCAAACRTTGTTTTTTCACTTTCAGAGCTACCATTAGTTTGTCCACAGAAGCAGTGCAACTTTAAAGAYTATTCAATTTAAAATGCTTGCTTGGGTTCTTTTTCTCCTCTTTGCATTATTGCTTTAAAGGAAGAGCCGGTGTGGCACCGTTTGGGGCTGGGAGGCCCYTCTGGCTCTGAATTTTCTCCCAAAACGCTGCGAACAACGAGCCGTGTTTGTGCGCGGGCAGCCGCGCTCTAGAACTCGCCTTCCAACTTTGTTTCTCACTTCATGAAGTTCTCCTGTGAGTCATATTATAGATCTAAATGACCTTATTGTAGGTGGCAAGTTTAAATGTGCCATATTAATAACTTGTTATCCAAGACAAATTAAGTCCTTATGTGTCAAAAGCACTCTGCTCTGGATTACCTACAAGACAAGTATTTATTGAATAAACGTTGGATCCAATTTCATTTTAATGTGACTGACTGTATGCTCCAGCCCCTTAGAATAAGATAAAAACACTCAAACCTGTGACTGTGTTGCAACATTACACCTAACTTGTCTATTTCTATTATTGTCTTTTTAATACGGGATATTAAAAGCATTTGGGGGTTTAAGCTTTTATTATTTTTATTATTATTTTTATTATTATGAAGAGCAAGGAGAGAGATAGAAAGAAAAAAAAAAAAAAAGACTGGCATTCAAGCCTAAAGAGAAATCATGAAACAAATTTAATCTATGCCGTTTAAAATGACATGGTAATCCAATCATCAGCTAAGATAAAAACACTCAAACCTGTGACTGTGTTGCAACATTACACCTAACTTGTCTATTTCTATTATTGTCTTTTTAATACGGGATATTAAAAGCNAAAAAAAAAAAAAAAAGACTGGCATTCAGCCTAAAGAGAAATCATTGAAACAAATTAATCCTATGCCGTTTAAATTGACATGGTAATCCATCATCAGCAAAGGGAAACTCTGAAAGCAATCTAGAATCTGCAGTGTTCTTTCACTGGCCCTCAGGCACAAAGACAGATAGTAAAAGAGGAAGAGAAAAAAAAAATCATAAAAGTTAGCACTGCCTTAGAAAAGGGAAGGGGTAGAGGGAGCAGCTTTCACTTTTTTTTTGCTTTTAAATGTCTAGTTCAGAAAGAAATGCTGATTAACCTTCAGCCGTTGCCTACTAGCGTTTACTTCTGTGTGTCACATCATCTTCAGCTGCAGAGATATGAGTAATTTCAAACAGGGTAGAGTCCCCTCCTATATAAACTCTACCCTTGAAAACTGCGCCAAACATCAACTTTGGCATTTTTGCTTACAGAGGGTCTTTTAGTAGCCTATACGTGGTCATTCCAAATGGACAATAAATTCTATCTTCTTAATCCTGGGAGAAAAAAAAAAAAAAAAAAGAAATAAGCACTGTACTATCCTAGGAGTTTAACAGCAGGATTGTCATAAAACTAGTATGGAAAAGCCTTTTTTTTTTCTGGTTTTTAATTTTTTTTCCTTTCTGTCTCTCTTTTTGTCTACCCTCTGCTCTCTCACCAAGGCTTCCCCCCATAATATATGTTTCACGAGTTTTTTTCTCGGCGCAGCTTTAAATAACTAAAGTGATGAGACTTTGTGCACCTTTAAATTTTTATTATACTTATGGTCAGAAGAAAACATAAACCTCTTGGGCCTTGAAAGCCAGTTGCAATGCAGCCATTATCCCTATAATGTCAACGGAGGTACAAACCTATCTAGAAATAAACCTTTTAAGAACAGCTTTCCCTGCCTTGTATTTTCTTTTAAGGTCAGTGGTGCATCACTTTTTGGAAAACGTTTCCCCTCTCTAGCCAGGTTTAGCAATCTGAAGTAGAATATATGTTACTAAATGAATAGGTTTAATTTTAGACGCTGAAAAAATAAATATGAGAAGAGAGCTAGGGCAGGAATAATACCTTTCAGTTAGAAACAGACCTAGTATAAAGCAAAAGTCAGAATTTTAGTGCCAGGGGCAAAAGGGTGAAAGGCTGCCTAATATGAACCATATCCAACATCTGCCCTATTTTAATTTAGCAGGGATAAAGTTTCTTCTTTTTTATTATTAAGAAAACTTTATGTGGCAGAGAAACCCATGAGCTTTGTTATCAAAACTGTTTTATTGTCACACTGAAACTTAGAACTATTAAGAGTTTGTGAAGGGAAGAGATAAAAACTCTTCTCCCTCCTTTTTCACCCGTCACAAGCTTAGGCTCAGGTTCTAGTGTCTGGGATGGCCTTTTCATGTCTTTATAAAGCACTGCACTTGGGTCTCTAGTATAAAGGGGAGGTTAATTGTCCAGGATGGGTCCAAATGATTGATTCTCTGGGTTAAAAAAAAAAAAATCTGAAAATATAAAACCAACTATTGCTTAGAAGCTGTGTGCAGGAGCCGTCCACAGGCAGGAGGGATGGAGGTGGTGCACAACAAGTGTAAAGAGCAGTTGAACTGGGGATCCGTGTGATAAATAGCACAAATTGCACGGGTGGAACATGATCTCGGGCTGTGTAAAAGCTTCCCACCTCGATGATGCAAAATTCTGCTCTAAAATAACCAAGTGTACTAAAACATATGCGGGTGACTAGGAGAGTCAAAGAACAAATTGGTTTCTGACAGAAGAAGGATGAATACCTTTGGATAATCTAATGTTAGAATTTGATTGAAAGCATAACATTCCTTGAAGCATCAATATGCTTAGGATCCAAAATATGGTTATTTTATTACCAGTTAATACTTAGATCAAAGCTAAACACTGTAGCTGGAAGGAATGTTCTCTGTGGAAATAAAATTCTATGTAATTATTTCCTATTAAAAACTAAAACCAGTCTTCGATTCAAAATTTTTTGCTTCCTAACATGGTATAATGCAAGCTTGTCAAGGGAGAGTAGACCTATCTTTTCTTACTGTTTGTTGTTATCCATTTGCTTTTAAGTTTTTAGTTTAGCATTAACTCTTTAACGTGAAAATTTTTCACACAAATTTCCTTCCATCAAAAGTACTAGATTATTTTGCATAAGACTGATTAATTTCTTACAGAGAGAAATTATAATTTGATATAAACTAATATCACATCATTTTAACTACAATCTGCAACCATAAGGAGGGGAAATGTAAAGAAAATTATATGGAGATTGATAAGCAGGCAGTGGAAACCTAAACCTTGAAAGCAGACAAGTATTTTACTACTGTGTAAAGCAGCTCATCTTAATTTAATTCAAAACATGGAGTTTAAAATATGCACTCAAAATATTTCCAAGAAAGCTGCAACCTTTCAGAGGAGAGAGATAAGAATGTATTTTAATTATAAGGTTATAAATATGCAATTTTTAACAATCCCCTAATGTAATATGTAATAATGTTCAGATGCAGCTATATATCTCTCTGTCTGTGTGCATCCCTCTGCAGGGTTTGGGGGCTTTTCTTAATATTATTTCATTTTTTTACAATAGTTCGATCTCTTTTTATGTCATGTCTCAGATAGGCCAGGAAAGTAGGAATTGCTAGCGTAAATAATCCATCTTTCTGTATTTTTAAATTATCACAGAATAAATAAATAATGGTTCCTTTTTATAACTGCTGGGTTACTATTAGAAGTAGGAATCAGAGATATTTAGACACATTATTTCAAACTTTCTAATTACTTTTGATTCTACTAATTATTTTTGATAATGTCACTCAGGAATCAAAAATAAAAGCTTTAAAGAGTTCATTGTTAGGATGGCTGAATGGAAAAGGAATCAGATATAAGGCATCAAGTATAACCTGGTTTAAATTTTTTATTTATTTTCACTGACTTCTAAGCCATACTATTTAATAGAATGATGGCTACAATTTAATTCTATATTCAAAGCTTGTTAAATAGGGAAGGAGTTGAGACATTCAGCTGGGATATTGTTTCCTAGCTCAATTAGTATCCAAAGAATCCAAAAGCACAATAAATGTTTCTGAAGATCATAGCTAAACAAACTTACCAACAGCTCCCACCTCTCTCAGCAGCTCCCGTGTTTCTGCCTCCTGACGGGGAGAGAAAAAAAAATACAGTTCAGATGCACAGGTTAAGGCTGGTACATGGCAAGGTTTGTGGGAATTACAAAGAAACCTGTATTTCACTCAACAATTTCATTGCTTAAACATATAGTTGGGAAGCATCTTTTCCTTAAACATGTGGTTCAATAGCATTTTCTTCAAAGGAGCAATTCGACGTGTTAAAAGATTTAAGAACAAAGAATGCGCAGCAAAATGCAAATTCTTACAGTATTATACTGTGTATGCAATTATGTACGTAGGCAGATAGATATAATTTGAGAGTTATTAACTTTCAACATCAGCGATGTATCCTGAATCAATACAATGTAACTACCTATTAAAATATAAACCAGGTGTGTTACCAGCCACATGCAGGCTGAGAAGCCTCTTCTGGA